AAAATTAAGAATAACATTCAATACTTAGACTACTAGTTTTTTTATATCATTCGTTTAAGGGGTCCACTGCATCATACTGAAAAAGTTTGTTTCTGCCTGTTATAATATTGGGTGTAAAGAACTGACAAAAAATAATTTAATGACATTGCTCATTTTGTATAAAATACATAGGGTACATCAGATGTAATTAGTGGGATTAATTGCAGTATTGATAATAATTTTGTTTAAATTGTCATATACTTTTCTCCATATAAAAGTTAATATTTTCCTGCACTGAAAACTTATTCCCAATAGATTCTTACCTCCTTTCACATAACAGCTTTTGTCGACTTGTACTGCCTTCTACATGCACTAGCCTTGATATTCCCATCAACGCTCAAGTGTTTTTCACATGAAACAGTTGCATGATAGCATGCAAATGAGCATGTGACAACCCTCAACTAATAGGAATATAACAACTCCTAGCACAACTGACTTCCTCTATGCAGTTTAGCTTAACTTTTCTTTGAGATTGAGCAACATACAAATTAAAAGACACTAGAAGGTAAGAATCTCTCGGGAAAACATTTTCAGCATAGGAAAATATTAACTTCCAATACAATATTTTACTTCCTCTCACATAACAGCTAGAATCGAACACTGACCTGGCGGAGGGACTAGTGTACCGTAACCTAGAAAGTTCTTGAAGGAAGCCTGTGAAATGTATGAATAAAAAATACGTAAGACACTCCTGTGGGAGACTGCACCACTTTTGAACCAGGTAGACTCTTCACCTGTGAAACTGATGTGTCGCAATAAAGGCAGAATTGCAGAAGTAACCCCATAAGTTAAATAAAGAGACCCTTGGTGTATAGTGGCAAGGGCATGGTGGACCGTAATGGGGAGTTCTACGTCAACCAACACCAAATCTACCGTGATATAAATAGACAGTCCATGGTAGGAAGAGGGTCCTCTACCCTTCACCTCAGACACAGGAACTGGAAAGGAAGATCTGTTCCAAGGACCCATATCATCATGTATGCATGTTTAACATAACCAACACCAGGGAACCGACATCTAGACAACAGTAGGAAGCTGGACAGCAGTGTGGCTGTTCAACTCCAGTCCACAACCAGGTGGCATTGGGAATAAATTATCCAGTCCACAGTAGAAGGGTACCTACACCACTCACATGTGAGAACTTGTGGCTGGTCTAGCTCCAACCAACACCAGAACCCCCTCCAGGAACTGACTTCTGGGCAACATTAGGAAGGAGGGTTCCTAGCCAGATGGGTGAACTGCATTGTGGCAGAAATCATCCAGTCCATAACCAAGTGGCATCTGGAAAGAACATCAAGACCATGGTAGGAATGTCTATATGTCTATACACCATCTACAGAACACCACCACCCTACTCTCAACTGAGTGGTTTTAAAAACAAACTCAAGAGGAAGCCTCCATGGTCCACCACACCAGTGGCTTGGAGCTGGTAAGTGGTAAGGATTTTCCACTGAAAGAATGTGTGTGTGATGGGGGGGGGGGAGAATCTGGAGGAATGCAATACTGGATACAGTGCAAATGGTGACAGCAAAACCTAATTTTGAAAAGCAGACCTTTCCTGATACAGCCAAACCAAGGAGTGGCAGGGATGGGCAACTCATGTTAGTCCTTGAGTATATGGTCTGGGGCAAACATATTTATGATGCAAAATACTGCAAGGTAAAACTGACAAGTGGGCTTAAGAATACCCCATCTCTACAGTGAGTGTTATAGATCTGAATGTCCATACAGTGTGGGGTTAAGAATATACCTGGTCAGGCAGCGATCACCATTGAACAAGATCCGTATATGCAAGAAAAGCCCCTGTAAAAAAAGAATAGTATAAAAAGAGCACCTACCCACTCCTAGAGAAAATGTGGAGCTCAAGATGGCAATGGGAGATAGATGGTAAACTTTGGAGCAGGAAACAGCCAAATGATGCAGATAATATGTATGGGGAGTGGTCCACATGCCAGCATGAACTATCTCTTTTGAAGGGCAACAGAATTGGGCAACCAGGGCCATGGTAAGGTGACAGATTTGATGGGAGGAGGCTTAGAAGGAACAACGATCATTATTAAAAAGGGATGAATAAGCCAGACAATCAGCCAGCAAATCCAACCTGCATGGGTAATAGGAGAAATATATATCACGGGGAAAGGTTCCAATGAATAAACAAATGAGAACCATGGAAGGGAGCAGTGCAAGCCAAGTAATAGCAGAGAGCCCAGACAAAACATGAGGCAATCCAGATTGGAACAAGGAAAAAGGTGAAAAACTGAAGAGAGCGAAGGCAAATTTAGCCCCACGTGTGGCTGAAGTTTTGAGCAAGAAAGACCAATTTGTAATGATTTTTGTATATTCATCCCTACCTGTACTTTTTGGCATTGCCATCCCTACATCATACTTAATTTTTGCAAATTTCTTTTCTATTACTTGTTTCCTCTCTTTTTTTTTAGACAATTTCATTGAAGTAGGCTGATAAGTGAGCACTTTTATTTTTATAATTCAATAGTAATATATATTGTTAATATCATATCAGTTTCTTCATTGCACCTGTAGAATGACCTCATATATTGATATTATACCATACAATTGGCTACAATAGATCATTAATCAACAATGGTTATAAACTTGACATCTTGAGATTTAATGTTGAGGAACCTACAGTAAGGAAAGAACATATGAAAAATGCATAGCTGTACAATTCCTATATTCATGTTTGCATTATTTTTGGTACTGCCATCCTTACATTATTTTACATTAGCAAAGTGTGTTTTATTACATATTTTATGACATTTTTCCAATGACTGAAGGTTATTGTATTTTATGAATGTGTATAATAAAATTTAATATTATGCATATTGATTTTTTCCCCTCCTTCACTTCATACATAATATAGGGGTTGGCTCCCTAAAGACACCAACTGTAGAATGTACAAAGCACTGAATATTTGACATGTTACAGTCATCTGACATT